CCCCAAAACCCCAAAACCCCAATATACAAAAATTATTAAATACATATGAATTGAACTATTAAAGATGATAAATTAATTTTGCTTCTAATTGTAAGTTTAAAATTTAATTTAAAAGATAAATCTAATAATTATTTTTAAAAAAGAGTATGTTCGAAGGCATTCTTGAAAGAGTTCTTTAGAGAGCCTTGGGTGATTATCTCGAAGGTTTAGATAAGAAAAATCTTTCATTAGGAGTAAATAATCTAAATTTAGTTTTAACAATATAGGTATGGAGTGGAAACATCAACCTAGAGAATGTTCATTTCAAGAAAACAATATTTTAAAAACTGAAATTGCCGCTGACTTTAAAACTTGGAAGAATTGGAAAACTATAGATAATTGTACCTTGGAGAAGACTTAACTCTTCTCCTGTAGAAGTTTTTATCAATTAGGTCAACATCATTATCTGTAATATTGCAAGTTACCGACTTATTTTAGGTCCTCAAAGTAAAGAAGAATGGGAGCTAATTGAAACTTTTCATACAGACTTTGATCTCAGAGACTAGATGATAAGATAATTTGCTACTCAAATATACACCTAAATCATAGTAAAAAAGTTAGATCTTATCAATTTAGAAAACTTAAGAAGCAGAGTAACAAGAGCAAGGATTTTTCAAATCATTGGTTACCAAAATTCTTGATAATGTTTAGTTGACAATCTAGAATATTCATGTCAGACTTGAAAGTAATGAAAACATCAGGAAAAAGTTTTCGATGGGCTTGACATTGAAAGAAATAAATGTACACACAACTAATTCTGAATGGGATAAAGAGTATTTTGACAGAACAAGAGAGTAAAATCTTGAAAAGCCGGTCTTTAAAGTACTTAACATTATAAAATGTGGGATTTATTGGAGGACATAAGAAGATAGATTCTTGACTTTTGATTATGACTAAGAGGATGACAGACTAATTGAAATGAGAGATATGTTTCATTAGGATGAGGACTATATTTAACAATATAAAGATGACTACCTACTCTAGCCTATTTCATTGAACATGAGATTACAGCAGAATGTTTCTAGCTTAACTCTTGAAAAAGAAGCTGAATATAAGATCTCATTAGAAGTAGACGAATTCAGCATATATTTATAAAAAACTTAGTATGATAATGTGATCATGCTTATGGAGCTTTTCAATGATTATTAAAGGTTTCAAGACTTATAGTAAATTTATTTCAATAATAATTTATCATTTAGTTAGCAAACAAGAAAGTACAAATTTCTCAGACCATAGGATTCATCCCCATTAAGTAAACCTAAATTGTGGTTGTAGTTCGCAATTAATTGCATTCTCAGAGAAATAAGACAAACAAGAAAAAAAATTAACCAATTTTAGATTGATTTTGAGATGAAATGTGATATGCAAGCGAATTTCTAAATTATCTTTAAGAAATATCTAATCCTTGAAGTTAAAAATCAAGATTTGACTGAACAGAAGCAGATAAGCAATAGGCAATAATTTTGGGAAGAAAATTACTAATTCTCAGCAATTTATCAACATATAATACAATCTGTGGAATTTGAAGAATTAAAGACATGGACTGATGAAATTGCCTAGTCATTAGCAAATGAACAGAAAGAAAAAGAACGATTAGAACAATAGAGGAATCAGGAGGGAGGTATTTTAAGATATTTTACTTATTTTGGCTCAACTTGGTTGGGAGGAGCAAGCTCAGAACCAGAGCAAGCTTAAAATTAAATAGAAGAGGAAAAGATTAGCAATGTCAGAAAGAAATCAAGGGATGATTCTTTTAAATCAGATAGTGATGATGAATTTTATGATGCATACGATGAGTTACCATAAGACTAAGATTAGAGAGACTAATAGCCATCTCAAACTATAGAAGAAGAATTTAGGTTATTCAGATAATCGATTCTTGTATCCTTTAAGCCTTAATTACACAGAGATAATAGCAGTCCCAAGAAAAAGATAAGTGAATAAGCGGTATTAGACCTTCTAAAGCTTAACATGCTTTCTACAGACGAGCAGAGAGAAAATTATAGAGATGATATGCTAAATTAACTTGTTCCTAACATTCAAGCTAACTTTATTCTTAAGTCTTTCTCAGTGTCATTGGTTAATAACTAAGATAAGAATGAAGGTATTGAACTTTACTCTCAAAATTTTACAATTGACTTTAAGAAATTTGACATTAACAATCCATAAAATGTCTTCACCTTTGAATTAGTAGCCAGAAATGAATCGTTTGGAATTAACCAAATTACAAAGATTGAGAATTAAATCTACAAATCTTACATAGTTTCGAAGATCATCAAATAAAATGATATATAGCTTAACTCTTAATTTAATAAATCTCCTGCAATGATTTCACACAATGATTCTGATCGCTATTAATCGACTATAAGGCTAATTAAGGGCAATTTAAATTAGAATATTGGGTAGAAGTATATAGTTGATGATAATGTTGATTTTGATTTATCTGTGAAATTTCAGCCAATCTAAATCATTTACAAGGTGGTAGCAATTTCTAAATTAACTAAATTCCTGAAAGTAGAAGCATAAAAGGAAGAAGAGATAAAATAATAGGCCTATGAAAAGTTAGAAGCTATTAAATAGTCAGTTTCAATATCAGACGTAATTAAAAATAGAAAAAAGAATCGAATAAAAATTGAAGTAGCTTCACCTATTTTAATAATACCTTTCAAGAAAAATAATGATATTAACTCGGAGTGCTGGATCTTTAACATGGGTGATTTTTCATTTCAAAATTATGATAGGTAGAGTTCTGATAAGATGGATAGAAATTATGATCACTACAAAATACAAATATCTTAAATAATGATGAGGTATATCAAGTCTTACAAATAATGGGTAGAAAGCTACAACCCCAAGAGCCTGTCAGTGATAAGAGAGTTTAAGCTTTAGTTAATTTTAAGTCTGAGAAAAAACTCAGCTATCAAGTCAGCAAATATTCCTGAGATCATTATGGATGGAAAGATGTCAAAACTTAAACTATTCTTTAACCCACATATTTACAACTAATTCTTGAATATAAGTAGATTATTGAGCATGGAGAGTACCTCATAAAACAACGGTGAATAATAGCATTTGGTAAATGAGAAGTTTTAGGTTCTAGAAATGGCTACTTAGACTGGCCAAATCAAGAAAAAAGGTAATACTATAAAATTTTGGTATTCCTATTTTGGAGTACTTTCAGGGGCGTATTTATATTTCTATGAAAAGCAAAGTGATCTTTATCCAGAAGACTATTTTTACATCAAAGGAGGCCAACTGTAGAAAGACATCGATAAATAAATTGAGTACTCAATTTAAATTGAAAACTAATTTGGAGACTAATGCTTGATTGCTTTTAATAGCTAAAAGAGTCAAAATGAATGGGAAAAAGCAATTAAAGAGAAGATATATGAATTATCATAATAGTAGAGTCAACCAGAAGAAAATATTAAAAGATAGAATACAAAGCTAGAAGATGAACTCGACGATATTGACCCAGAACAATAATAGATGAGATTCGAATTTAGAATACCATAAATAGAGATTGAGTTATTAGCTGAGCCTGATGATCTGTAAGGCTAGTAACTTGATTCGGAAAACGATCATTCTGAAAATTAATCAGAGAGTACAATGAAATAGTTTGATATTGGACTATTTACTCCTTGTAAGAAATTAAGAAAATCTAGTCTAGATTTTGAAAATTTCTAGAATTAAAGACAAGACTCGGAGTAAGCCTCACCATTTGATAATGAATTTTAATTCATGCAACGCAAGAGCTTGATAGATGAAGAAGTAAGAGATAAAAAATGGTCTTCAATAATAAAGCTTGAGAATATAAACTTTAAGATGGTAAGAAGGTCTTACGACTCAGACATGAGTGTAGTGTTATAGTAATTGAATATAAGTAACTGTGACAACAAGAGATTTCCAGATATGATGGACTCGAAATATCAATTGAATTAAAAAGCATTGATAGAAATTAATATAAAGAGGTAAGAGAAAGAGTCACCTAGATATGAAGATGCTGACATGTATGTTGATCTATTATTTGGATAGTTAGAAGTTAATTGGCACCCTAAATCAATCAATCGAATCATAAGATTCTTTAGGTACATGAAATTACCGGAGATTGTGATTTAAGAAGAGTAAGAAAAATTACAGCATAAGTAAATCTACTATGGAGACTCTAAAAATGATAACGGTATATCCCCTGGGTTAAGAATGAATTCAGACTTAAAATTTATGCAAAATTGCTAGAACATTCCCAACATTTTAATGAAAGTCAAGGCTAAACTAGATTTACTCAAAATTGTCTTAATTCATCCGATTAACCAAACTTATCCAATCGCCACGATTAGTTTAGGAAAATTTGATATCAATTATCACATGTGCTATGATCATGACATTTACAAGGGCAAATTTGATGAATTTAAAATATATGACCACACTAATTTCCCTTTGACCCTTGACCCAAGAAAGAATTATCTGTAAAAAGAATACCCAAATCATGAAATCCTAGGAATTAGAGTTGACTCAAACTAAGGTCCTATGCTATCTTTTGATTTCTTGATGTATCATGATCCTGAACATAAGACTTGTCCTTTGCAGGATGACATGTTTGATAAGAAGATTAAACTCTCACTAAACGCAATCAGGATAAACTACATGTAGGAGCCTATGTTTAGAATCAATGATTACTTTTTCGCACAGTTTTTGGGAGCACTATCTGACTCAAATCCATATCAATAGCTTATTGATTAAATACAGAACTAAGCTAATATCACTACTCTTTTGAAGTAAGATTATCAAAAGGACACTATGGTTACCCTTTAAGAAATATAGCTAATTCATCACGACAGAAGATTGTCAAGTATAGAAAAAATGCCTCCTTAAAGACTCTTTTCCTTTGTTAATATAGATGATGAGATTAATTAGAGAGCCGCATCACCAATCCCGTAGCTATCTAAACATCTTTTGAATCCTCCAAATAGATGGTAAAATTTTGATTTAAAGCAGTATAAAAGATGTACTGGACTTGATATTACAATTGATTGACCTTTGATTGTACTCAAAGATAGACCTTATCTTTAAAAAAATATTGAAATAGATTTGGGAAAGACTAATATAACAAGTAAAACTGAGGCAGTTCTTGGCAGATGGAAATAATTTCCTTAGAAAGAAGTTTGGATTACTAAGTTTATCATAGATATGAAAGATATGGGTATCAGATTTGATAGCAATAAATTTGAAATTGCACCATCAAATGATATTAAGGTCATATTCGAAAAGCTTAACCACTCAGATTATCTGGTAGATTCCTATAATTCAAGCAACATGGATTTCCTTGAGTTAGACATCAGTTACAAAATAGATATAAACTTTTCTGCTTTAATTATGCATCTCAAACCTGATGTTTACACTTATCTTCTGAGATGTATGGATCTCAATATCAACTTTACAGATAATCTTGCAAAATTTTTCTAGCTTGCCATATGGAATGATGGATCAGACACTTAGAAATATATCATTTAGGAACAGGAGATAGTATAAAAGCTGAAGAATAAGGAGGTCTATAAAATGAAGGTTTATATGAGCTATCCTTCTCTTGCATTATAGTTACATAATATGGATGGCTCGTTTATGTCTGAGCTTATTCTTTGGAATACAAAGATAGATTTCTTGCGATATGTAGATTACAGAAAATCAATAATAGTTCAATCTCATTCAATCTTCATTCTTCATAATGAGCAGACTATGCAATTTGGAACCAAAATGAAGCAAGTAGTAGTGGCACCAGTGTCTTCTAAAAATTTCATCTGCACTAACTAAGATTTTTATAACTTTCAATTCAGCACAAATCTTTCAAAACTGTCTCCTCAAAAAAGACAAAAAGCCTAATAGAAAATGAGTAGGAAGAACTTTGTAGTCAACCTTCATTTTGAATCTGACGGGGAAAAACTGATCTAGACAAAGATCGAGAAGCTTAAAATATTCATAAAACCTCATATTTTCCTAATGATGTTTGAGATGTTTGTCTATAGCATGCCTCAATATCAAGACAGCTCCTAAGATAAGCCTAATTTCTATGACTCAGATTGGGGCAATGCTCCAAGAATGGAGGTTTGCTGCTAGATTGTGCAAAGTCTATTGTGTTTCGAAAATGAGGAGAAGTACCTTAGAACAATTGCCTGCTAAGGAAACACTAGTTTTACATATATAAGGGAGAAACTGAATTAGATTAAGTAAAGATTAGTTGAAAAACCTCAAATGCTTGATGATAATGGCAATCTTGACTCTGCAAGATCTCTAGACTCCTCCAGGAAATCCATATCATCATAATTTGTTCTTGATGCAAGTGCTACCACTAAAATAATGCAAGTATCAATATCAGATTTATGCCCATTCTTCTGCACTGGATCTGACCTTGATGGTAAAAACTTCAAATAAGTAAAAAAACGTGAGATGATGTCACCATTCACTCTGTTTTATAATAGAAGCGATATCATTGAGCTTTCAAAGTAGAATGATAGATTGTTTGTGAATAGCCCAGATAGATATATTTTCAAGTTCTATTCTAAAGTCGAAGCAAATTTGGAAAGAACTTTGCTTAAAATATCTTTCAATGATCTTCAAATATTGAAAGGAATTGTTGATCATCTTGGCTTTATGCTGAACCAAGAATATATGAGGCTACTTGCTGAAAGTAAGCTAAATGGTTAAGAAATCAATCTGGGTGATTATATGCCAGAGGAGCTAGACTATATTAGGGCATACCATGATCCTGGATATGATGATGAAGAAGAGGAAGACAGAGAGCAGTCTATGAAGTAAAAGGGCAAGGATATGTTTAAGAATTTCGGAATGCATGATATTGAAGAAAGATCTGAACATTCTAATCACTAGTCTTCTGTTTAGAACAGTAGTTATCTCTCTGAAGATAGTGAAGATTATGAAGATGATGACGAAAGAATAAGAAGACTTGCTAAGATCCAACGACAAAAAGATGCAATCATTAGATAGAAAAAGCAAATAAGTTAGAAGCCAGAAAATTTCACTGAATCTGTAAAAAGAGCTTCAATTGTATTTTCGCTGTTGCAGAGAACCTTTACCTAACGACAGAGTGACCTTAAGAATATTTAGATCAATGAAAGCAAAGATGAGGAGTTCAAGACTCCATATATCCCATAGTAAAAGGTCTCGAAATTCTAGGATATAATTCATGAGGAAGATGATGAGTTTAATGATGTTGATGAGGGATAAGTAAGAGTCAATACTGAGCAGTTATATTGGAAACATTAGTCTCCAAATGCTTCAAAATCACTGATGACATCTGAAATTGATTTAGACACTTCACTTTAAAATGCTATATAATTCCTGCAAGCCATAAAAGAGGAACGAGGGGTCGATCAATTCTAGGTTGTCAGTTATGGATTAAAGATCTTGATTATTAATGACAGTTTGCAGAATTTCTTCCCAGTCCTTGGAATTAGCATATCAGAGTTCCACTATTCCTCTGATCAGAATGAGACTCAAAAAGCAGGCATAACATAGTTCAGCTCTGCAATAAATTACTATAATGCAGAGGCTGGTGAATGGGAGCCATTTATTGAAACTTTTAAAGTCCACTTGACAATCATGGAGGAGTCAAAGAATAAAAAGAAGCAGATGCTGTAGTGTGAACTTCCATCGGCATTAAGCATTAACATCACAGAGAAGCTAGTCAAAAACCTTTCAAATACTTATAAAACCTGGCTTTCAGGTTCTGAAGAGGAATCTGATATACCTATTAGACCCCCACCCTCTAAGAGAGTAAGTTCTAATGAAATGATCCATAGTGACCGAGGAGGCACTATGAAATTTAGGCCTAGCATGCTCCTTACTAAATATGCTATTGAAGATATTGATGAAGAGGATGAATTTGAATCATATCAAAAAGAAGAGGACGTCGTAACACCATACTCAATTTGCAATTAAACGAATTAAAAGCTTCTGGTTAAGAGGCTCAACATAATCAATGACAGGGATTTTGAGGATAAAAAAATGAAAAAGTCAACAACAAAAAGTTTTTCTAGTCTTTAGGTCAAAGGAGGGGCAGGATCTCAGCACAGCAAACTAAACAGAGTATATGTAATTAATCCGAGTGAATCGATTGATTATGCTGTGGACTATGAACTTCAAGTCAAACAGCAGATGAATATCTACTCATCTCACTAGTTTTCTGGGTAACAAGGAGAATTTATTAAGATACTGTTTGAAGATGCTGGCACTACGAATGGAGGAATCAGCGGTGGAACTGGAATGAGCATTCCACTGAGTAGTGTAAACCTCAACTAGGTCGGCTGCAAAAAGCATTATGTTAAAGATGACGAAAGAAATAAATTTAGCGAATTTTATGTGTATGGAGTTACTCAAGTAAATATGAAAAAGGTACTTACAATAAGAACTCAATATCTCTTTGTGAACTAGACATTCTTTAACTATGAGATACACATCAGATTCTCAAACTCTTCAATTACTAAAACTTTAACCCCTGGAGATAAACTACCTATCCCAGATACATTGAACTAATGTAAATTCCAAATTAGAATAGCTTCACAACAGAGTCATTACGATCAGGAATAGGAACTCGATAATGAATTTATGACACCTAATTTAAGCAGAAGACTTTCAAAAAGAAAGTCAGTAAATCCTGATGAATCAGCACTTCTGGACGAGGTTATAAATTAAAGAGGTGATTTACAAAATTATCAGATAGTAAGTAGAAATTGGTCGGACTTATTGCCAATATATGCTCTAAAGGATAAGTTGCCAGTAGATAAGACAACATTCTTGAAACATGGAAAGACTTACACTATAATAAAAAAGGAGTAATCAGAGTTTGCTGACGCTTTTGATATCACATTTAGACCACCTCTACTGCTTAAGAATTGTCTGCCAGTTCCAATTTACATTACTTTTGAAGATTCAAACGGTGAATATGACTCAATGGATCTACTTAAAGAGGAGGAGAAACATGTATTCGTTTTTAATTTGTAGTAGCCAGTAATGCTCAAAGTGCTAATTGATGGATTTAAGGAGTAAATGATAGTATTGGATTGTTCATCGTCCAAAGATCTTGAGATAAAAGTATAAGTATATGATCATCAAGGTAGAACTCTTGATTTATACATTGCAACAAATACAAAAGTTGCAGGGAAAAAAGCTATTTTCTACGTCAAGAATTGTGTTATCAATAATACCTAACAAGATTTGACATTTTATTACTCACAGCCAAATGAGAGATAGTTGAAGCAAAAGAATTACAAAGAGATGATTGCTGGTACACAAGACGATAAAGTATATGGCCTAACAAAGAAGTTTCACTTGCTTTCAGATGTAAATTTATTGTCAATTTATCAATATTTAGAGACAAGAAATTTATGCGTCAATAGATGGCTCAAATGAGGTATCAAATCCGATTAACATTCATAATCCAGGATGTAATGATAAGTTTTTGCTCTCAAAGGATGCTTCCTTGTTCGAATTTGCCTATTCTACAGAAATTTTTTTAGCCAGTAATTTTTTTAATACTTACTATCATTAAATAGCTAAGGATGACTATATATACACAAAGATAACCACGATTACTCCCTTGTATGTATTTGTCAATCATACAAAAAGTGTCTTAGTTGCAGCATAGAATGACTCAAAAGATATTCCATTTGTCATCCCATAAAAAGAAAGAGTTCCATTCCATTGGGCTAATAAAACAAAGGATCAGTATGTTAGTGTCAAGATAGTAAGTGATGCCTTTAAATAGCCTAATGAAGCTGAATATGACTGGTCTTGCGCCTTTGACATCTCAGAACTGGGAACATTATCAGTGCAAAATAGAGAAGTTTAGAGAGATAAGAACTACTCAAAGGAGTATTAAAAGTTTAAGACACAAAGAAGAAAAATCAAATTCCTCAAGATTGACAGACGACTTCATAACAATACTATTTTCATAATAGTGGAGGAAGAAGATGCCTAATAGCCAACTTATAAGATTGAAAATTTCTCTAAAGTATTCGCCCTTAGATATCATTAAGTTGAATAATAAGAATATGCAGATTTACTTAACATTCAAGAGAGCGTACCTTTCTCATGGACGAACTACCTTGGAATCCATCAACTCGAAGTCGACCTTTTTCATGGAGATTTGACAACAGATTAATCTTATTATGTATAAGGTGCATAGCTAAGATTTGCTTTGGATTAGTTGAACTTTAAATAAAATTTCAAGATACCCATTGGATATTAGGATGTTATCAATTTGTATGTGTGCACCTTCACAAACGGTTATACTAAGGTTATAAGATTCTCTGATATTGATAATACTCATATCACAGCTACTAATCAAGAAGATGTTGGTGAAGTTGAAGATGAAAATCTATCACAAATGTCTATTTATGAGATCAATGTAAGTTTAAAGTATCATAATCCAATTTAGTTGAGACAATTGAATCTTTCTATGATTGGTGAAAACAGAGAGCTATTGATAATGTCTTTTTAGAGAATATAAGCCAAGGTAGTTGATACTGAGAAAGACACAAAGAGTGAATTTGAAATTGGATATATCTAGATAGACAACTAGAGTCAAAATGATCCAATTTACCCAGTTATGCTTAAACCCAAATATATCAAGCCAGACAGTGTTGAGGAAGATGATCAAGGTAGTAACAGCAGCAAGAGCAGAGATATGACTAGGAATTATCAAGTAGGAGTGTTTTAACTCTCTTTGGATTACAGAAAAAATATCCCACATGTTGCATACTTCGAATTAGTTGACTATCTACTTTAGACATTAGAAGTCAAAATTGAGTTTTCACATATGCTTCTACTATCTAAATTTGCATAAAAGATAGGAGGTATGGTGGATAAAAATCTGACTTGGATGCATCAAATCTTTGAATAGGATTCAGGAGATAACTTTTTTGAATAGGAGCCAGATTTCTTTAAAACGAAGGAAACTGTGAGAGAAGGTGGAAATTTGATGCTTGATAAGACAAAGACTAAGAAATCTAGTTTAGGATTGGGAAAATACTAGTCTATGACATATAAAGAGTAAAATTAACTCCTTAATGAGCCTGAAGAAATTAAGTTAAACTTCACCCCATCGTCATAAAAAAGAGATAAATTCCACAGAGGATTTTCTCAAGATCAATCTAGTGCCACAAGACATCTTAAGAAAAGAACTGTAGCTAGTAGTTTAGCGTTAAATCGTGTTTAGTCAGTTCAAGACAAATCTAATTTTGGAGTGCAAGATGGAATCACTGGCTCATTATCAAAGACAAAAACTTCTTAATAAAATATTCTAAGAAAGCTACACTCGTAAGACTTTCAAATGCTTCATCAGCAAACCAAAGTTTAAAGATAAAATTGGAAATCAGAGTAATTCAAACAGCAATCGAATAGAATTTATATCAAAGAGTATAGAGCTGGGCCAGTTGAGCTTGAAGTAAGTCTGATGAACACAGAGTCTTTTGAACTTGAAGAGTCAGATATATTTAAGACTATCAGTTCATTAGGTCTTGTTATCAGTAGTATTGATGAGGCTCCTATAAAATTAAATGCTCTTGTACTTGGAAATGTCTTTGGAGATTATGATGATGTAGTCACCTAACTAAGAAAGCACCATTCTGAGAGATTTAAATGGAATATCTTAAAATTTATTGGAGCAAGTAACTTACTGGGAAATCCAAGTAATTTTGTGAATGCACTTGGAACTGGAGTTTAAGATTTCTTCTATTAGCCAAGATAGGGTTTTGTCAAAGGTCCAATTCAAGGAGGCATAGGAATCATTAAGGGAACAGGATCTTTAGTTAAAAATACTCTGATTGGTACAATAGGTTCTGCAAGTAAAATGGTATCATCTGTAAGCAAAGGATTGCTTGTGCTGAGCAACGATAAAGAGTATATTTAAAAGAGAGATGTAGATAATATCAAAAGAAAACCTTAAAATGTTTCCCAAGGTCTATCACTTGGTTTGAAATCTGCCTATAACTCAATAAAATCAGGCATAACAGGCGTTTATAAATAACCCATTGAAGAAACAAAGAAAGGGGGCTTTGCAGGATTTTTGAAAGGGACAGCCAAGGGTATTACAGGCCTTGTTGTTAAACCTATTAGTGGTACTTTGGATCTATTTTCCTTAACATCTGAAGGAATTAAAAACACCTCCAAGAAAGTTGAAGAGTTAGTTTAGGATAAAAGATTGAGACTACCTAGAGCGTTTTATGAGACTGAAAGAATAATTAGGGAATACGATGATTTCCATGCATTCTGGATTAATTAAGTACCAAGAATCAGAGCTGATATAAATGTAGAGTATTTCTTTGAAGCAATAATGATAGACAATAATGATACAAGTTGGTCTATTTTATTCTTGACTTTGAATAATCTAGCCATGATTGTGGCAGAATAGAAAACCAACTAAACCTAAAAATCCAGTTAGAAACGTAATCCTGTTTACATCAAGTGGTGTTATGACACAAAACAAATCCAATATGTAGAGGTAGTTGAGGACTCCCTTTTGACCATAGGATTTTAAGACAAAAATTTAAGCGTATAGATGAACGACTAATTAGTCGCAGAAAGAGTAAGAGAAAAAATTGAAAAGATTATAAAAATGAAATAATGATTAATTCTTGATTTCATAATTATTCCATCTATTTCATCATTAAGGGGTTTTGGGGTTTTGGGGTTTTGGGG